CCACAAAAACAACAACAACAACAACAACAATGAATGTTGTAACCAACAAAACAATATTTGCTTTAAAGATAGTAAGGAAGTTTTATAAAAAATGTATTCTTAAAAATCTTATTGACTTGGGATGTTGGCAAAGAGTTTGTTCTCTTGGTAACAAATTCAGTTTTTTTGGCTCCCCTGTAACATTATAAAAACTGCATATACTGTATTTTCTAAAATGACGGCAGAGTCACTGTTCTGGGATAAGTTAACCCAAAACAGACGTAGCGGACAAATAATAAACTATGTTGCAGAACACTTCGGAACCATCATGGACAAATCAAAAACACGAATTTGCATATTTCATAGTATTTGTATGCATGTCAGGATCGATAACAACAACAACGTATGCATGTTGTTGCCTGCCTCTTTAAGTTCAAAATCAAGAATGAGAAAATGATTAATGTAGGTGGGGGGTTTTTTAGGTCCACATCGACACAATTTAGATTGTCAAATAAAGAAAACATAACAATGTGTATGATGAATAGCAACGATTTGCTTCTTTTTTAAAGTGCCCCGAAACAGCCCGTCTTCAAGCGTTGGCGAATAATCAGAATGCGAGCCCCCAAACGTGTTAAGTCTATATTAGTATTAGTGGCATTTACAACAAATACGTGAATACACTTATCTCAATGTATAGGTATAACGGAGCGTGGACGCCGTCGGCGTTTGTGGTGTAGCGGTTAGGCACTTCGCTCTCGCACTCAGGAGACTCGAGTTCGTTTCCTGAGTGGGGATAATCTTTTTTATTGAGTATCTCGGTCTTTCTGTTGGGATGTTGTATTGTCTCTCTCAGCCCGAGTTGGCCCTGGCAGGCAAGGTCGTAAGCCCGCCTCCTAAATGATCTAAATAGTGTCAAAATAGGCGTAAATACACCTGCTATGCTATAAAAAGTAAGTAGTGTTGACCAGCGGGTCCCACCAAAAGCGCATCAAGCCTTCGCCCATCGTGACAATATCACAAAGAACAGAGGAGGTGAAAAAGAAGGTAGCGGGTAACGTTTATTTCCTTCGATTCATGTTACTGATTTATTTATTGTGTCCAGTTTTTTTTTCACTGTTCAGGTGACAGTGACAGGGTTGAAATTTCTTAGTAGGCCTATGAGTTTTACAGCCCTTGCAACACAATTATGTCATATACGTGTCGAAGATTAGAGGTTTTACGAGAGAGTAGCAAACACAAAAAAGAGAGATAACGATAGCTATTTGAAAATAATGAAGGAGCAAACCATACCAGAGCACCCGCCAACCACCCATATATCTAATTTTTACAGAGATTTCTAATTAGAAATAACAAGTTTCTGCCCAAATAGAGTGAAACGCAAAACTTTGCAACTTTGTAAGAACTAACGGTACATGTACTAATATGTGATGCAGCGTGGTGGAATCAGGCTCTCGTCAATTTTTGGGCATGTAAAGTTATTGGTATTATCTTAAAGCTTGTTCAATTGACTTTATTTCGATGAAAAAAATATCCATTTATCTTGAATACAAGTCGAGATATTTGCGAAAGAAGGAGGTGGGGGTCACCTGTTTTCAGAAGTAAAATTAGAGAGAAAATGGCCGCCAAAGATTAGTTATTTCCTTAGCTTAAGAGTCCGTGGTAACTGAAAATTTCCATTTTTTGTGCCTTTAATCAACGTTTTTCAGGAAAATCCACACATAAAATAGTTCTTTAATTGGCAGGCAAGGTGTTGGGCCAAAAAACAAAAATTTGATAAAAATTCACAAACCTGCGGAAAAATGCAGGTTTCTTCAATTTGATTATTTTGACGAGAGCCTGATTCCACCACGCTGCCTCAAATATGTGTCTGTGCATTAAAGAACAAATTTATAAAAAGGTGCAGTGACAGAGCCAAATAAACTCAAAGAAGGCGGTGGCTATTTAAATGGTATGCTTTTGGTGTTGACCGTTTCTCTCCAGACAAGCTCAAATTGAACAACCCTGTACCATGTTTCTGGGTTGGGTTTTTTGGACCTTCTGTTCACCATTACGTTTGTGGGTGTACCCATAGACACAGTCTTTAAGATAAAACCCCCCAAAAATAATGGAAGGAGTTCAGGCTGTGGGAATGCAGTGACAAGTCTTTCAGCTTATAAGGCATTCCCAAAACCTTTCTTGCAACCAGGCATGGACCACTCCTCAACAGCGCAACCCCTGATCTCCACCTCAAACTTCTCTAAAACTTTCTCAGCATGGTGACATATCTATCTAATGCGACAGTCATGATTTTATTGGAAACCCGAACAGGCTGATCACGGCCCTGTAGTTAAAAGCTTCTTTGAGAAGTAACATTTTACGTTTCCTTTAATTATCGTTGAAATTTTTAAAACTGGGAAGTTTCTAAAGCATGTAAACTGATTTTCTTCATATTGGATAACTGCATAACCCCTTGGTTGAATTTTGAAGGGTTTTTCCTTATTTTATTTAGTTGAAATTAGTGCAAAGATGACCAAGTTCTTTCACTATTAAAGGGTCTTCTTTATTCAGACACCTTGTACAGTACATTGCAAAAGGCATTACGAAAAGGAGCAATAAGCACGTAAACTGAAAGGTGCACAGATACTTGTAAGTAATAAAAGAGCATACTTACCTCATGAACTTGTTCGAATGAAGAACAGGATCAGGCAGCAAATGAAACCTTTTGCTCTGCGTCTAAATGCTGCTTTTCACAAAAACATCTTCCTGGACAATGAGCCACTGTAAAAATAAACCTTCTCATTTCTGTTTGCATTCAAGTTTTCTATTTGTTCTTTTTCTTTTCTTTCCTTCCTTTTTCGTCTTTAGACTCTGTTATCTTTCCTTTTTCATCTCTCTTCTTCTCTTTACCTTTTCTCGGGTGTCTTTTTTTTTTCAATCTCTTCGATTGTTCTTTTTGTCAATATTCTTCTTCCTTTCCATCTTTATCTTCTCACCTTTATTTTTCATATTTTTTTCCTTACTCTTCATTTCTATGTTCCTCTTTTTGATTTTCTGTGCTTTCCTTTTCATATTTTTTCAGTATTCTGATTTCTTTTTTTGTCCTCATCTTCTTTACTCTTTAACTGGTACACAGTTTTCACCACAACCTTTATTCAAACAAATTTTTTTACAATCTGGGGATTTTGATTCTCTTTGACATCTGAACATTGTACTGAGGTAGTTTCATTTCCAGAGAAAAGACCATAAATCTCCACACTCTAGATGCACTTCTATTCGAGGGAAAAAAATCAACTAACACTTTAATGCCATATTCCAAAGTACAGGCATATTCCACTTTTCCCCTCCTCATTCCTCTTAATCTTATATGCTTTTTCCAATACCCATTACCACAGGGCTTAGAATTACATATTTCCAGAGTAACATGTTGCAATCTCCTCTTGATGATGCATCCTCTGTCTTCAACATAAACAGGGACAAGCTGCAGTAACATACAAAATACAAAATAAAGTGTCTAGTTGCAGCCCCATCACTTTCTCCTTTGATCCGATCCACATTTTCGTATCAAGATTTTGAAGTCCACAATTTCTGCATATATATAACAGATTATTTCAGAGCTAGTTCTGCAAATTATTTTCTTTCCATCCAATTGTCACCAAAACTCCCACAGAACAGCTTCGTCACAAAGGACTTTTTACTTCAAGCAAGCTGAATGAGAATTGTCTTATTTATCACTTTCGTAGAGGGATTTCTTTCTTTCCTCGTTAGATTTTTTTCAAAATAAGTTTTCTTGAATTTGCACTTGACTTTAAGCCGATATTTATTTTCTGGACTTTTGATGACTTTCCACACTTTCCTCTGCCGCTGTTTTTCTCTTCGAGATTATCATGCATCCTCCTTTTCAATCTTCGTTTCAACTTTAAATTCATTTCAATTTTCATCAGCCCTTCACTTCAATTCTTGTCAGCACGTATTCAGTATGAAGTGTGTTCACCCTTCAAAAAGAAAAGGAAAGAAAATCATGAATAAACAGCAGCAGCACACATACATATATTTAACACAGAATCAACAACATCTCTTGAAACATTGACTTCGAACAGAACTTTATTCAAACAACAACAAGATAAAAACAGAAAAAACCATAACTCAGCACCAGGTCAATGAGAGAGTGACCATGTTCAGGATGGGTATAAATCTCATTTTATAAGTCCTGAGATATTATGTCTCCAAGGGAATGCTATACAATTGCTCTTGTTCTATAACAAAGCTAGGAACAAAACCTGAGCATTTTTTATCCTCCACAGCGTAAAAATACTCGGCAAAAGCATTGACACCTCAGGCTAACTATCATAAGTAGTAGACATTAGTTCTCACCCTACAAAATATTACTTTCAGGTAAAAAAAATAACAAAATCCAAAGAATAGCAACACGCACCAAAAAATAAAAAAATAAAGCTGTGCAGATGGCAGAATATTGTACTCAAGGAGAAGGCAAACAAAGCAAAAAACCCCAAAAAAGCAGCATGTGGTTGATCTCTCTGACATGTATCAAACTAAAACAATGTTAGTGTTGTAATCCTTTTTCACTGTAACCCAATTTACAGGCTATTCTTTAAATTAAAAAATTCATATGACAATAGCAAAAGAACTTGACATGTAATGCTAGATAAACATAATATAACTGAGAGATAAACCTTAAAAAATTGCCCCAAAATATTTTTTCTATAAAAGCAAAACTGCATAAACTAATTACTTTATTCGATGGCTGTATGCCAAACTACTGCAATGGGGGTCCTGCACTTTGACAAAGGTAAGGCCAAAAGTTTTCACAAAATCATATATGAGTCAAGGAAGGCATAAATGTCAAGTAGCTTGACACAGACTGTAATGCTCTATACGTAGTCACATCAACTATGGCACCCATCTTTCATCCATATTCATCCCTGTCTATACGCCACTAACATTCACCAGCAGTAACAACATAAACAAGCTGTCCTAATTTCTCGTGGACAGAGAACAGCACCTCTACACAAACAAAAGTGCTTGTAAAGACTCGATCAACAGCAAGATCCAACATTTTTACACCCTGACTCTGAAGACTGATTTGTATTGGGCATTATCTTGCCGATGGGGAAGTCAACTTGTTCCTTGAAGCCTACATGAAAACAGAACTTAAGCTGTTTTTGTACAGAATTTAAAGATGAGCCGGTCAACTATCTAAGTTAGGCAAGTTTCGACATTGTACAGATTCCTTACATAGCAATTATTTGTAAGAGGAGCCAAGAAATCTCATCTCGGCAGGTTTGACTTTGTTGCAACATTAACAAATTTAACAGGCATACATATTATTGAAATCAATGAACGCATTAAAAAAAATAAAGATGGAAAGAAACCGATACTTTTACATAATTTCAAATAAAAATTAGGACTGGCAATAATGTTAACTAATTCAGTAAACAGACAATTTAATCCTTTGCCTGAAGTCACTAATCAATTTATTTTGAGTCAAACTATTAATGAATTTAAACATAAAATCACAAAAGCTTCAAAATCTGGGAAAATTAGAGTGCAGAAATCAAAGGAATGGCAGGTGAGCCAACACCAAGCACTGGACAAAAGCATTGAGAATACTGCGGTGGAAGGCTGCAGCATAAAAGTCAAGGAAATCCAACAATTAATTTAAAGAATCAGCATGCTCAAAATCTGAGCAACAAGCATAACAAAAGTAATCTTATTAAATATAAGATACATCATTTGAGGATGATGAAAAAACAACAAAGTATAACAATGAATGTCAGCCGTTATAATAACTGGGCCATTTGGTTTGGACTATATCAGCCGACTGAAAAACTAGAAAATCTAAACAACTTGTCAATGATAATATGAGCATGTGCCTGGTACAAGGTACCATATAACGCATTTTGAAGAATTCCCTTTTATTACATTTTATGGTACAAAAATAATTTCTGAACAACTTGCCTTAAAATTTTTTAAGACAGCTTCAGCACTTTGTGAGATCTGGTTAATGTTGTCAAGTATGGTGCGGAAACAAAGTTTTGAGAAAAATGGCTTTAAAATTTCCCTTAGATACGGATCGAGTTCTACTCCTAATGAATATCGGTTGATCAAAAAGCCAGCCATGTTGTTTTTCTCCAAAACCTGTGACAACATTATTACTATGCATAGTGCACTTTTAAAAAAGCAGTTTAAGAAAATTAATAAGTTTCAAAGTGTCATTAAGACACTCTAAAAGTAAATTCACTGTCGAAAAGAACTAAAAATTTCACAACATTGCCTTGTACATGGGTATGCACGAAGCCTCCCTTCCTTTACTACTATATATCAATGTATTTGGGTACACTGCACACCTCTCAAAGGGAAATATGCTGACCTAAATTTTGATATGCAATGTTAAGGGGTTGATTGTTATGAATGAGTCGTAGAAATCTTTGTCAATGACAATGCTAGTAATTTTGAAGAGTGACTTTGTGTCTGCTTTCCTCATCAAGTGGAGCTTGTTCCAAATGCGCAAAAGCTGCTATCCCATACTGTTTTGTTACACTTATGTGCACTTCCCAGATCGAAATAGGTCATGAACTCACCTACATTTTTATATGCAGTGAGATGCGGTTAGTTTTTATGAATAAGTCATAGAAACCTTCCTCAAATAGGCTGACAGCAAATGTTCTGATGCAATCTCTGTTATTACTTAAAAAAGAATAAAACATATCCAGTAGAATAAACACACAGCTTTGTAAATATTGGGAGATAAATGATCAAAGAGTAAGTTTTTTATTGAAACTCAATATTAGTAAAAAATCAATGGTTGACCTTTATTGCCCTGTTTCTCAGTTCTAGCAAATGCATCTTACTCTCTTACAATACCTTTCACCAGGCACGCACACATAAGTGCACTCAAGAAAAGGTTTTGGTACAATATTGTAAGACAGCTCTACACGAAGAAGGTGAAAATGAAAAGAAACAAACATTAACTTTTACAACTAAGAAAAAAAGAAATTACTTGAACTAAAAGAAAGATTTACAATTCAGAATCCACTTTGTAACAGAAAAACTCATCAAAAAATCACATCCTGTGAAACAAGATCAGCAACCCTCATCTTTTTCAAATTTGCCCATGCTAACAAAGCGTTCTACGAGTAGAGCCCATTTTTACACAAAAGAATCACCAGGAGGCAAAAACCTGTAAGGCAGGAAGACGCTGAGTACCTTTCAGCTGCTGAAAACAAGGGTCTGTGCTGGCATGGACATATGGGGGGAACACACGAAGCGTTAACTCAGGGATGAACCATTCACTGACAGTGACCTGAAAGGATTTTCAATGAAAAAAAGCAGTCCTCAAAAATCTGGTTTATTTTGATCCAGTGCCTTATAAGACTCATGGACTCATAAGGTATCTGGTTGAAAGCTGAGCACTGAGGCAAAAATAATTAATATAATACACACATAGCGAAATTGGTGAGATGCGGAAACGTTTTTGTTATGTATGAATCTGGCCATGTACATGTTTAAAAAAAAAAAGAAAATACATGTAAAAAAAAATTCAGGACTGGAAAATCTGTTCCCTATGCGTGCGTTTCACTGTGTGAGTGTTTCACTATGTGAATGTTCCACTATGTGCAGATTAGACTGGTACTTCAAATTTTACAAAGAAAAATAGAGACTCTTTATGCGCATGATATTAAATCCTTCACAACACTGTGGACAGCATTTATAAACGAAATACAAACCATCAAAACAATAGAAGGCAAACTGTTCGGGAAGACAAAATCTTAACCTCCACACATTACCTAATGCCCACATGACATTAGCTTGTTGTGGGTGGACTTGAGAAAAGCAGGCCAATGAATGTGCAAAAGCTTGGAGGGGAAAAGTTTAGTAATTACTCCAGCCAGTGTAAAAAGAAATTATATCTATTTCAGACTATTGCACATTCAGTCAACATTTACAAAAAAAAGCAAGGAAGATCAATTTCACCCTCCAGGGTGAGGCCATTCTCAATGGGGGGGACATTAACATCCCGAGTTCTTATGCACAGTAGAATAGTAATTGTAAATGGGCTGATTCATTAATGTCTTGCTCATAACTGTGCCTGAACTGCAACAGGGAACTGCTGCTTTTTCTTTCCTCATCCTTGCTATTGCCATTTTCCTCTACTTCTTTTGTATGTTTGTCACTCTCTTGTGACCCGCTTTTTCCGGGTTGCGTTGATAGTCGAAGCAGTCTTTGTGCTGTTGAAGCTAGAGAGGTGAGCAGAGTATGTCTGATTCCCTGTAAAGACTTCTGTGTTGACATCCACCCCTTGGCGCTCAAATGATCTTATGCAGCTGCGAGTGCCGTAAAACCTCTACTAAAACTAAAAGAAGACCAATTTCATGACTATCAAGAAAATGAAAGTCTCCCAAGAGATTCAAGTCAAGTAGAGGGAAGTTTTCAGTTACATTCATGTTGCAGGCTAAGTATAACAAATATATATATAATTCTAGGCCCTATACATTGTGTAGTAAAAGTTTTTATCAGTAAATGGACCTCCTTATAGAATGTCTTCACTTTAAACGACAGAAATAGATATAACAGATGTAGCCTACATTAAGTGGATTCAAGCACCACATGAAAAAAAGATGTTACACATCTGATCTTAAATACAAATCCACCATGCCTGAAGGATCAAAACCACTGCACCAGTTTCAATCTACCAGTACCATTTCATCTTTATACATTAATGTCATTTTCCAATGACTGCATATTTCAATAGACTTTTTCAATTATTTGCCATCTAATTAATATTGTGCCAACACCCATCAATAAAAGTGGGTGTTGTGGCGTTCTCTGCTCCCGTTTATTGTCAGCTTCATCACTATTGTTCTTATCAACTTTCGGGTGGCTGTGTTAGATACGACTCAATACAAAATCCATTAACAAAGTGATGCCTCTGAGAAGTAAAATTAAGAGTGTCTTTTGTGAGAGGGAAAGTGAGAACAATGTAATATATGTGACTTGCAGATGAGGGATAATCTGTGTTTTTTTCAATATCTTTAATCACAGATCAATGTGACCACCATTAAGGGGGCTCCAATGGTTGAGGGGTTAAATATGAGCTCAGGTTCATAAACAATATTGAGCAATTATGATGAAATAGCTTTCAAATGGGTGGTCCCTGTTATGTTCACTTGAGTAAGACAAGACCCAAATGAAATTAAATGACGCCAAGCACTCCTTCAACCAGCCATGACATATTTCATGAAATGTCTGCAGTGGAACTGTGTATTGTGTGCCTTTGTTGAAACTTGTGAAAAATTTAAGATATGCATTGCACATACCATTGTAATCCAAACTGCCCCACGAAATGTAAACATTGAGGGTACTTTTCTATTCTTGTCTTATACTTACGGGAGTATGGAGAAAACCTCCGAGGTCTTCGGTAGTAGTAATCCTCATTATAATCATCATCGTTATCTTCTTCATTGAAGTAATTGCAGTGGCGGAAATGTCTTCTGCTGCGACCGGAGTATCTACTAAAGCGGGACCCATGGTTCTCAGCACCATATCCTGGGTACCCACGGTCATACGACCAGCTGTGATTAGAGATGACACTTTGGATCAAACATAGTGCAAGGACCAGAACAAAAGGAGTGGAAATCATAAAAAATGTAACTCCCAGCAATCAAATTTGAGTGTAAGCCTGTATTTGATTGACAGACTTCAAAGAGATGAGATTAATTCTTCAAATTAAATAGAGCCATATTAGCATTTTCATAGCATGTGGATCAATAGGATACTTATTGAACAGTGCTCAAAGGTAACTCACATAAAAAAAATAGCAATTACCAGATGGAAAAGAGGGAATGTCAATAAGTAGTGTGGGTCACTGGGGAAAATGTGGCCAGCAACAAAGAGAATTTTTTTTTTTTCAGTTGTTGTACAGACCAAGGCTGAAATTCAACAAAAAAAGAATCCACCTCACATGATCTGTGATTGAAAAACATTGAGCAACAGCATTGGCAGAAAAGTGAGAAGTGTGGGAGAGACAGTTTTCTCCTTTCTACTTACGATCGGCCGAGATATCGTCCTGGGGTAGGAGGGTGAGGCTGGGTGGTCAGTGAGTAGTCCACACGGATGGGCCTCCCATCCAACTCAAGTCCCTGAGTCGCTTTCCTTGCCTGAAGTACAGGAAAGGTTAAAGATAGTTCTTGTTCATTTTATACATTGAAATCTCCAAAACATAAAGAAAATCAAATTTTGAATTGATGGGGGCGGAATACTGCAAGAAATGGGACAAAATCTCGACCCTACACTCAAATCTTGAACTTCCAGATGTCAGTCAAGAGTCTCCACTTCAAATACAATTTTTCATTTGTCTTGTTTATTCTTGGGTGGAATTATGCTATATTCATGAACAACCCTTGAAAGACTACTGGATAAGGACATGTTGTATTTGATGGCAAAGGATATGTCCTTGACAGTCCACATGTGTTCCAACCTATTTTGTCTAATTTAATACAATTTCTCTTGTAATGTTTTTAATTTTCACTCCTCACATTTCCAACTTTTTCTAATTTATCTTTCTCTCTATCACACACATACTATACATTACAATTGTAAGAAGACATAGAACAGATTGCCTCTAATTCAGGCCATCCTCACACCATCACAAATTTTTACTTTGAGTAGATCAGCTGGCATTGATCTGACCCTTATTTCAAATGATGTGTACAAAAAACAAAACAGCCTCTCCGTTACTGAGGGGCAATGAAATGCAAAGGCATAAAACACTGACTTAAGAAGAATAAAATATTCATGTAAAATAGCAACATACCTCAACAGCATCTTCAGTAGACTTGAAATAGACAAATCCATAACCTTTTGATCTGCCTGACTGTGAACATTTTGAAAAACAATCAGTCAAGTGATGCTCTGCTGAGAAAAAGCCCAATATCAAGTAACTACAGCTAACAAGGGGAGTAGCAAATAAAAGCTACAAGTTGACTTAACTTGAACTTTTGTCAACAGTGTCTAAATCTGAGGACATTTAAACTCCCAAGACCAGATCCAAGTATCTGTGACAAAGTCCTAAAAAAAAACTATCAGCAGGCCTACATTGATGTGGACAGTTCAAAGAAAATGAAGTGTGGTACAAAGGGCATTTTAAAAAATTGAGTCTTTTGTTCTTTATAATCACCAGGTGTAAAATTTTATTTGAAATAAAAACGACGTTCAAGAGGCAATTCTACCTCTCTATGACAAGCAAAGAGGCAGACATATGAAAGCCTTGAGAAAATACAAGATAGATCTGACCTGACCATCAATGATTTATTTAAAGAGGTACCAGCCATCCATGTCCAGGTGCTGTTTTAGCCTCTTTTTCCTGTATTCGGATTAATAATATCTTTTTGCCAATTTTATTGGTTCCGCTTCTATGTACCCCATATCTATGGTTCTCAATATACAAGATAGATCTGATCCATACAGTGACAGTATCAAAAACTGTCTTTATTCTATAGGCCTACATTGCAACTTTCATTGACATGAAATCTGTTTATCATGAAGAAACTTTCTTATGCCGTATAGTTAGTTTTACAAGGGTTTTTTCTGTATCTGATCCCTGTTTAAACAAGGGTTAACTGACCTGTCGATCATAGATGATAAATATACTCTCAAGGGGGCCATATTGACTGAAAATATCTTTCAAGTGTTTTTCTTCAGTATAGCTGCTAAGTCCAAAAACTCCCAGACAGTGGCAGGCACCAGGAGGCTCCTGCATGCATGGAAAAGAAACACAAATGTCACAAGTGCACACTGTAGAGACACAGGGCGTTGGGAAGTTGAAATGAGTTAAAGAAAATGACATTAACATGATAAAAAGCCATCTAGTGCCGTGAAAAAGTAAGACTGACAAAGAGTGTGACAAAAACAGCAAAACTTACCTGAAGCGTTTTCCATAAAACAGTGAGTTAATGTGAATACAAAGGTTTAAAAAATGTTAATTTCAAAAACATGCTATTTCAGTCTTTCATCCAAAAAAACAGAAAGTTTTGACATCTCTAAGGAAACAAGTGGCTCATACAAGTGCTTAACCTGTCACAAGACATATATCTCCATACAACAGAAACAAACATCTCACCTTGTCCTCCAAATCTCTGTTCTTGTGACTGTAGGAAGGAGCCGGACTGTTGCTGAGGGATCTGGATCTGCTACGCCTGCTTCTGTTTACAAGACAAATAGTAAACATGAATGAGATGACAAAGAACCAACAGGAACATTTAGAAACTATTTTTTCCTTCAACAATATTAACAAGTTTAAAAAGAGCAACCCAAACACCACTTACATATTACAGCTTGACCACATCGTAATAACTATTTTTGTTTAATCTAGTTACAAATGCCATAAGATGATACCAGAGCTTATGCTGTGACTTGAGAAATAATATATAAACTCGAACTAAAAAGCAAAGGAACAACTTGTGTTTTCACCTGTCAAATTTAAACTTAAGTATCTCGCAAACCTGTTATGCTCAGTCAACCAAACTAGGCACATGCACAGAAGTCTAGACACAGCTTGCCTGTACAATAAATTTGCCCACACAAACTTCACAGCGACAGCGCAGGGCGTGCCGAAACACAGCCAAAAGCATGAAAAATGGGCTAAATTTCTCTGACTCAGCAACATTAGCCTAGGGACTGGTGGCTAAAACTGAGCTCGGCACATGGTAAACAGATGTCTTGGCTGTGAATATCGCTCACTAGCAACCAATTATAAGCCAGCATTTTTCATCCACGTTTCACTACAACAGGGTGGTCAAATGATACTCGATGCTTGATGTCGACAGAGGACGAGCCCTTGCATGGCTCCAAAATGGCTCCACGTTCTGAGTCGTTGCACGTCCACTTGGGGGCGTCCCCAGAGGCTGCAAGAACGATGGTGAGTGACCGGAAGAGTCCAGGACAGACCTCAGCCAGGTCGGCCCCGTTTGACCAACGACAGGATCGACCGGTTCATCGTCAGACAGGCCGTGAGGTCACGAACCACCACTGCAAACCGCATAAGGGGCCAACCACGGGTGACAGCCAATGTCCTAAAAAACGAGGAGACGGTGAGGAACCATCTTCGTAGAGTAGAGCCAGATTTGCTTCTCCATAGAGTAGAGCCAGATTTGCTTCTCCGTAGAGTAGAGCCAGATTTGCTTCTCCGTAGAGTAGAGCCAGATTTGCTTCTCCGTAGAGTAGAGCCAGATTTGCTTTTCCGTAGAGTAGAGCCAGATTTGCTTCTCCGTAGAGTAGAGCCAGATTTGCTTCTCCGTAGAGTAGAGCCAGATTTGCTTCTCCGTAGAGTAGAGCCAGATTTGCTTCTCCGTAGAGTAGAGCCAGATTTGCTTCTCCGTAGAGTAGAGCCAGATTTGCTTCTCGTGTCCCTGCCAGGCGCCCAAAGTACACGCCGGCCCATAAAGCAGCTCATCGGGCATGGTCTGCTCGCCATTCACTGCGGACATGACATTAGTGGGATCAGGTAGTATTTTCGGACAAATCCAGATTCAACCTGCTGCACCCAGACAGGCGAGCCCACGTCTGGAAGCGCCAAGGAGAGCGGTTCCACCCTGACTGCATCCAGCAGGTGGTGCCCTATGGTGGGGGTTTGTTCTGGAGTGGGGAGGCTTCTCAGCTCACCACAGGACCCCCTGTACAACACACAGGGCAATTTGACTATGGCAAGGTACAAGGACAAAATCCTGTGTCCCCATGCTGTTCCTTTCCTGCAGCAGATTGGACCCCAGGCTGTTCTGCAGGACGACAACGCTATGCCACATCGCGCACGGTGGGGGACTTCCTGCAGAAGCAGGGTGTCACCCACATGGACTGGCCAGCTTGTAATCCATATTTGAACCGACTAGAGTACATATGGGATTACATTGACCGACGGATAAGGGACAACCACCCTCCTGCACAAAACCTTCAACTCGTCCAGGAGTGGCAGAACCTACCGCAACAAGTTCTCAGAAGGCATGCCCTGTCCATGCGTCGACGCTGTACCGAGTGTTTGATCAAACGGGGTGGCTACACCCACTATCAGAGATGCCAACCACAAAAAACCGAAATGAGTATTGGGAAATATGAAAATGTGTATTTTCAGGGAAAAATGTGTATTCTCTTCAACCGACCGACTAACCAGTAAAATGTTCAGGGTGTCCAGCAATATTTCCTGAAAAAAATATACTAGCTCACCAGCTCAAAAAAGGGAGCACACACGCGTACAATAAACACGTATCCAGTCAACAACATGTCAGTGTTCAGTGTCGTACTGGGGTCTTGTTTGACTTAAGTATTTCAGTCTGTTATAATATTTTCCTCTCATTATTATTATAAAAAATCAATCCTGTTTTGAGCGTTCGAAGGGCCTAGAACAAGAATTTCGATTATCAAGAACCAGTGGGTGTCATGATTCATATTATGAACTGACAGACTAAAATTATTGCTCAAACTCAGAGAAGAGCAAAAAATTGAAGGGCTCAAGTAGACCCGTGCACTGTGAGAGTTGTAACAACTGTGGGAGGGCAAGATGCAGTGACACTGAAAATTTGCCCTTCTTGAACAGAGAGCTACAACATACACAGTACGTATAATTTACTATCACCCATCTAATGACACGTGAACATTTTATTTCAATTACACAGACTTGCAAAGTATGAAGGGTCCCGATTCCGCACACGGCCTGCACCAACGCGCGCTTTGCAGAGAGCTCTAATTAAAATTCTGAAATTTGCCTCCAAGTTTTTGTCCTCTGGTCTTGCCTTCACACCTCCTCCCTCCCCGCCCCCCCCCCCCTCGAGTGTATAGAAAAAAATAATCAATAATCCCCTCCCGTAGACCTATACTTGGCAATGCCGTTACTCCCACCAAACACGGTCTTTGCTAACACGATGCCGCATTTATTTGTGATGCAAATGCGCGCAGGTTCATTGACCGGTCACGATGGCGAGCCCGACAACCTAAAAATCGGACGACGCTGGTATTTTCTTTTCTTTCCTACAAGTGACAGCACAGAGACGAGTTCGAGAAATTTTATTTGCACGGCAACACAGCGTTTACACTGCACAACCTGCATGTCACAAATAAGTTGCGTTATCAGTCTACAGTTGGCAAACTTCTCGGTGGTAACGAAAGCGAAAGTAGATCTTGATTTTCCTGATCAAGCCGCGGTGTCACATACACTTCCGTCTGCCGCCATAGCCGCCTGTTCGCGTGAAAGTGAAACGTATTCTCGGAGGAGGAAAAGCTAAACGAATATAATACCACAATCGCGACCGACAAAAATGAACTTACTGACCTTATCGGACTTGGTTTTCAAATATTTCAGTTCCGTGATACTGATACTATTTTGACAAAAGAGGGGACTTGAGTTTAGGTTTACTCGCCAAAACTGGATCTCGTATTTTTCGCTTTCCAGGATGCGTATTTTTTCATGAAAAGTCGTATTCGTGTATTTTTGGCAAAAAATCGTACTAAAATACGTAAAATCGTACTGGTTGGCATCTCTGCGCTATTGACAATGTTCAGGAAGAACAATGGCTGTTCTGGCTTCTGAAATTGACCAGTGTGTTTTAAATTCATTTTACATTAACTTTTCATTCTTGTTGAAATGTGAAATTGTACACACTTAATCCAGAGAGCCAAAAGAACCTTTTTTGAAAAAATTAAAAAATTCGGTTAAAGTGCTTTTTAGTTATCTGTCTTTGAATTTTCGTTCCTTGACTTTTTTGTGCGAGTTTAGATAAAAAGTAAAAACTACAAATATCCTTGACAATTCTGACAAGTATGGCCAATGCAAGGGAACAAATCTTCTTCATTAAAATTTCAATAAACCTTTTATCTAAAACTGATCTTTTCTGGATTAAGTAAACAGAACACCCTAAAGGCCATAGATGAAAACCTGGGCAATGTTGGGTTGAAGCAACTCTCTTCATAAATTATGTAAATTGAGTTGATGGCTTTATCAAATCGTTCACACTAAAAGATCAACACAACAGCACACAACAAACGAGTGTGTGAAAATATAAGAACTCAAACACCACAAACTTCACCTCTTTGTTCGTTTCCTTACAGCATCTTTTGACCCAGCAGAATGTGGTGACCTGTAACTCCTGTGTGATCTACTTGGTGACCTTCTCTTCTTCTTGGAGCTGAAAGACCCCATATATATAAGAAATTATTTATCAACTCTGACATCCAAACTATTCACAGAAGACAATCACCTTCATGATGGAAGTCCCTTAATCAAGACATGGCCTCAGACAGAATCATCACATTAAAAGTACATTTAATTTTTTTTTTCTCCAAAATTTAAGATTGGCATTTTTTGTCTCTATAAAAAGTATCACGAAATAAGGACTATCTCCAAGTACTCCAAATATTACATTCAAAACAGATTTAAAAAATGATACACAAACAGTTCACTGAAAAGAACCGTGTCAGAAGCAACATGATGTGTCCTCATCACATAACCCCACGAACTTTGCTTGCAACAAGAGTCAAAGCGATTGTCACTCCAAGACCAAGCTACCCAGCCACTCCAGGAGATGGAGCACACAACCGTGACCAGTCCTTCTACTCACCATTGTCTTATATATGACAAATGGATAATAAGGACAGAGAAAAATAAAGCAAGAAAACAAGTTTTGGTACTTATGATATACCCAACACTTACTCAAGGTGCTCTGTTAGCTCAGATGGTATCGTGCTAGACTGCAGAGCGGATGGCCCTGTTTTTGTTTAAAATTTACTACTTCATTTGAAGGCTATGTTTTCAAGTTAGTTAATCTATTAAAAAACAGCAATGGGAAAAGGCCAGTCACCAAATTCTGTTTTATAAAATACGAAAGTCTCAAAATGGCAATGCCACATCTTGGGAACAGTTAAACTCTCGTTTTCAAGACTTCTAAAGAGTAGGGGGGGAAAGATCAGAAGTAGAGGCCAGAACACAACAGTTGTGAATTTGACCTTTGAGAAATTGTATTTACTAATTGTATTCCAATATAAGGCTGAACAGTACATTCTCAAGAAATTCACAAGCATTCCTGATAGACTTCAGCAATCCTGCTGGCTTTGAAGGTACAGTATATGGAGAGAGAGAGAGAGAGAGAGAGAGAGAGAGAGAGAGAGAGAGAGAGAGAGAAAAGAGAGAGAGAGAGAGACAGAGAAAAAGAACTTCCAGCTACCCATGATATCCCAGACTTTGGTTGAAGAGTATTATCACTTCACTGTATAAGCTATGACAGTTCTGTCAAACCTACTCTAGACTCTTACCTATAAAAGACAATCACCTATGTGTGAGGATGTAGTGGATTCAGAGCCTCGTTAAGTTTTGGGCAAAGGGGTTATTGGTATCATCTTAAAGCCTGTTCATTTGCCTTGCTTTTGAAGAAAAAAATATACCCATCTACCTTGAATAGAAGTTGAAATATTTGCAATTGAAGGAGGTCAGGGAAGGCTGACTTTAGAGGTAAAATTAGCGAGAACATGACCGCAAAAGTTTGTGAACTTCTTGGCTTGAGAGTCCTTGGAAACTAAAAATGTACATTTTTTGTGCCTTTAATCAATGTTTTTCAGTACAATCCACACAAAAATGTGTTTTTAAAAGGACATAAAACTAAAAGGTGTTGAGCCAAAAAAGAAAATTTGAAAAAAATTGCCAATTGCCCCCAAAAATGCCGATTTCTTTGATTTCATATTTTGACCAGCGCCTGATTTCACCACAATGCCTCATAAACTCTTCCCATCCCCCTCTTGTATTGATTTTATATTTTAATGACACTGAGTTGGCGTAGGACATCCACCTGTCTAAGAGTAAGACAACCACTTTTCTCCTCTACTTTTGGCCTTCTTTGACAATTCCAACTTTATTTCAATTGTAGAAGGAAAGATGTAAGCCAATGACAGCAATACCCCTTTGGTCCTCACAGATGTTACAAATGGCACACCTTTTCTCGTCACAATCTTCTCCATGTTTTGATTCTCTGCTCTTGTGATGTCTGTACCGTCCCTCATCCTGACTGTCTACCTGATTTACAGAAGAATGAAACAGAAAAAAAAGAAACAGTGAAGGAAAGTAAACAATGGAGACCTTTTACTCTTAAAGTGGATATCCTGCAGGAGGAAAAACTTGTCCAGCTGAAAATTAGCAGAAAATCAGTAGGCTATTGTAAGAACACATGGGAGGAGGATTCAATATCTGATGCACACTCCATGTCGGAGGAAATTCAACTAACTATTGATTCTGTAAAAAAATCTGCAGAGCAGGCTGTTATCAGTAGGCTAAATGGCTACTTTTAAGGACAAGCGGGCTAACCCAGATTTCGGAGATTTCCAAAAGTCTTGACCTACACCAAAAGTGGGCATTGCCATACCTCTATAGGAGAAGTTTGGTTAAAAAGAAAATTCCTTGTTTTTGAAAGAACAGCATTTTTCGGGATAGCCCCCTTGAGCTTAAAAGCGACCATATGAAGACCTCTGAAATGCACTCTTTGAAACACTTGGTCTTGGATTTTTCTTTAA